ACATTATCAGGTGAATCAATGTTGAGAAGAATTTTAAACATTCATGGTTTTATCATCTCTCACCAGCATTATCAGGTGAGACATGTCTTGCATTTCTCCCTTTTCGAAACTATTCTAGCTGGCTTGGATGGCAAGCTATTTCAAATTACATAACCTAAAACCAACAAACTTTGATAAATCATCAAATAGTAGCATACTCTAATCTCAAATTATCATGCAGTACGCAAAATCTAAGCCAAGGCCGTAATGGAAACTATCTTTATCAGCATAATAAACATAAAATAATTCATTGCCAACAACAAATCCAAAATTAAGGTCTGAATTGAAAACTAAAGTATAGATGTAAAACACTAACAAATCAAAACTCCTTACTACTCAAATTGAAATACAAGACCGTATATATCAAATGTGATCAAAACCACAGAAAAAAAAAATGTTTCACATGGCACAGAAGCCTAAACTCCTACAATTCATTGATCCCGAAAAATTGCTACCTTCGACAGCTTAGGCAGTGGTAGCCGCTCCTCTCTTCCTGGGTGCAGCTTCGGTACCTGATTCAAAATCACAACTTTAGCAAAAACGCTAAACCAACACCCAAAATTAAACACTCAAACAATAAACCGATCATACCCTCTCTGAAGCCGCTCTTGAATCTGCGAGGCACGTGACGCAGGTACCTCATTCTTCCAGTTCCAGTGGTCTTTCTCCTAATGGCCTTGACGCTCCAGTTATCTGAAACCCTAAACCGATCAAGACCGAATCTTTAACACAAACTCTAAATTTAAAAAGTAAAAGTGTTACATTTTCTAGTGCGTGCTGCTGGGAAAGCACACGCAGCACAGCGACTCTTCTGGAGGTGAAAGCTGCGACGGCCGCATCTGACACAGAGGGTGTGGGTCTTGTTCCTCCTCTTACCGAAACTCCCCGTTCCCTTCCCCTGCACTCATGCAAAATCCAAACACCATCAGAATCAGATTCATATCACACCTACACAGAGTAAAAGATAAAAGACGATACCATTGATGGTAGACGCAGAGCAGAAACCCAACTGCTACGAAAGGAGAGAATTTATATGAAACCTAACCTAATTGCTGCACTGTAGAGAATTTATGTATGTGTAGGCACAGTGTGTGTTGGGTTTTTTTTTGTTTGGGCCTTCGGCCCAATTATATAGCGATGGCAAAAAAAAAGGTGAAGTTAACAGAAATAGAAAATATAAGGAATTTAAGCTATAAGCACTGAACCAAAACCAAAACGATTTTTGAAAAATTCCCTTTAATGTTCTGAATGATTACTATTAATCTATGTAAACTATAAACAAGTAGAGGTAAGCATGGCTAAGCCAACTCCATCTTGAAAAGTAATTTGAACATCAAAGTTCATAAGCAAACTTTATTTTCTAAAATTTTGATTGTTTGGTGATTGTGTCCAACATGATAATCAAGAATAAAGCACTAGTTTGTTAAAGATTTTATCCATGGGAGTTCCATATTTCTTAAGTTACAAAGAAAGTTCAGAAAAAAGTTATCATAGCTTTGAAAAAAGTTATTAATGGATGTTTGGCTAAATGCAAAAAATATCCTTCTGTTTTCTTTTTCGTAACACACGCACTGACCTCTCTACTAATAACTAATCATAGCTTTGAGAAGTCGAACACCATTGAAGTTAAAAAAAAAAGCTGATTTTTTTTTTCAGAATGCAGTCTACGTTTTGGGGAGAAAAAGGAAGTTAAAGTAGATTAAACGCATTTGATGCAGAGTAAAGCAAAACAGCAATACAAGTATTTGAATAACACCAGTAATTTTGTATAGATCTGCTGGCTGGTAGAAACTGCAGGTCAAATGCTGAGTAAGCGATTTGTGAGGGTACTAAGTTTGTAAAGGTATCACTAAAACAGAAGTTTACTAAGGAAAAAGTTAATTACATGGAAGTGAAACTCATAACAGGATATATCCTATATCCAACTTAGTAAGTAACTCCATTCTCTGCTTCTTTCTCCATTGCTCATGAAAGCGGTGTCGATTTCCTGTCAGTTTCTACACTTTGTTTAGGCTTCACTGGTGGCAATTTGTCTAACACCCAACTTGGTGAAGAACCAAGCCATAGCCCTTCACCAGTTTCTTTGTGCTTGAAATCAGGAGCTTTTTCATTCCTCTGATGATCAAAATGAGCTATCAACTCAATACACAAAATCCAATAAAGCGATATAAATTTGTAAATATTTAAGAACACAAGGACAATTCAGAAAATGGGTTACCTTATCTACTCTATTATCCCACCATTTAGCCGGATTTTGCACCAAATCATTCCAGTACACATCACCACCTAAAACCAGGTTGAGACATGCGTACTTCAAAAAACAAAATACGATGACCAAGCAGAAATGGAAAGTGAAATTGAAGTAGGACACGAGGAATCTTAAGTTGAAGGGCCAAAACAGACACGAGAGACTGGGCAAAGATAAAAATGGAGATATCTACACAAACCTTTACTATCCTTTGCTTTTTTGGATTTAAGAACGGGAACTTCAAATTCAAGCCCTTTCAGTTTGGGTAAAACCCACGTTTCACCCTTGCCAAGCCAGAGGGAAACACTGCCATCCTTGCGCTTGAAATCAGGGTGCTTTGGATGTACCTGTACTAAATATATAAAGGGATAAAAGGATCCTCCGGATAAATTAGACAAAAGAGAGAAAGATACATCGAGTGAAAAGTCATTAATCACTAGTTCATTACCAATCCATTTTGTTTGCTGTCACGGAAATCACACCACTGCTTTGGATTATCTACAAGGTCTATCCAAGAACTCATTGAAGAATCTGGGCTTTTCTTCGCAGAGGCTGTTAAAACAAACCAAATTGCAAATTGTTGGAAAGTTTAAACAACCCAATTATGGACGTACTTAACATGTATATACTTACATATTGAGTGTTTTGGTTCAGGTTTCAAGTCAATTGTCACTAACTCTAATTTCTCTTGCACCCATTTGGGAGTTGAGCTATTGATAAAGAGTAATTCAGCATTTGTCTTTCTTTCAAAAGCTGCACCTTTTGGATTCTCCTACATTAATTTGTAACGGATGTCATGGCCAAATACTAAAGGTGCATGACGAAACCAACCAAGGAGAAAACTTCCCAACCTCTGTTGAACGAAGATCCGACCATTCAACGGGGTTATCAAGGAGATCCTTCCAAGAATTGTCTTTGTCCAGCACTTTACTCTGCTTGGCACGGATATTCTTCCTTGATGGATTGATGTCATGCTCCTCACTTTCTAATAAGATAGAAACGGAACATGTCCAAAAGAAATATCAAGTTCACGGAAGTAATTGCTAAAACCACACCACACACTAACAAAATTTTCAATTTCATCTAATATCATAAATACTAGCTATCATCCTCGAATTAACTTGCTCTGTTGGGTTCTTTTCTCGTTCTGGTTAGGAGCATATCTTATCCTCCTTATAGCCGTATTTTCCCTTCTTTTCTTTAACTAAAATTTCCTTTAGGCTAAATTAATCCCTGAAACTATCTGGAAACTTTTAATCAGATTCTCCAAATAAAAGAAAAAAAAATTGTAATTAGGTCCACGATCTTGAGAAAAAAAAAATCTGGTTCGTTGGACTTCTAAAACCATCATCATAAATCATCATATTTTGATCATTTCAAGTTGTCCCAAACCATCTCAATCACAAAAATTTTACAGGATCAAGAATCCAATTAAATTTTTCTTACTAATTTATTTTAAGAATTCTCAAATAGTTGAGACATACCGATTAGTTTAGCCTTTCTTGTATTAAGTTTTTAATATGAAAAAAGAACATAAAATTATGAAGGCAAGAGCATTTAGTCAGAAATTAGGCTAACGACTGTTTGAGCATACACAAATTGTATCCATGTAACAAAGAAACACGTTTTTGCGGTGTCAATAAATGAAGTAGTGCCGAGATTAGAGGACATTAGGGAAAAAAACGAGAAGGGAGGACTTACTGGAGAAAGGAAGTATTTTGGTGGTTGAAGATGCGGATGTAGTGTTGAGTTGGGGATATCCTTGAACAAAGTTCAGGGTTTGCACCATAACCTGTTGTAGATAGTGAAGATGAGAAGTGGGAGTGTAACAGAAGATAAGATATTATAAGAAAGACAGAGGTACCTGGATATTGCTTTGATGGTGGTGTTGTTGGGGGTGTAGTGGATGACGATCAGTGGTGAGATTTCCAGCAATGTGGATGAAATCATTGAGTTTGAGATGGCATTTGGCGGTATGAGCGAGATCACCCTCGAATAGAAGCGGAATCCTGAAATGGGGAGATAGTGAAGTTATAATAAGAACAGCAAAGAAGAGAAAGGAAACAGAGAGAGCAGCGTACGAGAGGAAAGGAGAAGAAGGGGACTCTTGGCGCGTGATGACGGCGGTGGCCCAGGCGTTGCCTTCGGGAGATTCGTGGAACTGAAGAGGCGTGAGTAGCTGACCGATGAGATCGACGGCGTTAGCCAGTTTGGGCTGAAAAGGAATCTCCGGTGGGGTGGGTTTGGAGCGGCGAGTGGCGTAGGAACGGAGAAGAAGAATGAGAGGGGAAACCGAAGAATCCCTGCCACCTTTGCCAAACTGTCGGAGCACCCAACCATTCATTTCGCTTACTGCGCAGGAACCGATCGAACTATGAATGAATGAAATGAAACTAACACGTTTGTTTTAGGTTACCTAATTTTTTATAATCAAACTTGCTTAAGAGCAATACACATGTTCATTTATCCAACAATAAAGCCACTTCTTACTAAAGTTTTATGCTTTAGCAAACATTTTCTGTTTCGATGATTAAGGTTTTTACCCATAGTTGTGTAGCAAAGGAAACTAGGTTTAGTGATGACCTTTCATAAATGGTTGTTATTTGTCTGTACCTTAGTCTTATATTCCATTTTCATTTTAAAACATGTATAAAACGTCGCTTTAAACATTAAAAAACAGTAAACTTTGAATTATTTAAACACATGATACATAACAGGTAGTTTTGTTAATGGTGGGGATATGCAAGGAAAACTAAGATAAGGAGATCCGAGGAGTGAAAGAAAAAGTGTGCAGAAATGATGGGGGTAGAAGAAGAAGAAGCAGCTTCAAGAACTCCGTTGCTCTCCGGCAGAAACCCTTCCTCTTGGACATATGGCAGCATTCTGGTGGTAGCTTCCATGTGGCTCCTGGCAGCCTTGTCCCTGGCCCTCTACTTCTCCACAGACCCAGTCTCCTCCGCGCCGCTCCCTCACCCCGTCGTCATCCTCATTTCCTCCGACGGCTTCCGTTTCGGATACCAGTTCAAAACCCCCACTCCCAACATCCACCGTTTGATTCAGAACGGGACGGAGGCTGAGACCGGCCTCATCCCCGTCTTCCCCACCCTCACGTTCCCCAATCACTATTCCATCGTCACCGGCCTCTACCCTCCCCACCACGGCATTGTCAACAACGTCTTCTACGACCCCATCACCGCCGAAAAGTTCTCCATGAGCAACCACGACCCCAAGTGGTGGCTTGGCCAGCCACTCTGGGAGACCGCCGTCCTCAACGGCCTCTCCGCCGCCACCTACTTCTGGCCAGGCTCCGAGGTCCACAAAGGCCCCTGGAATTGCCCCGAGGCCTTCTGCCAACTCTACAATGGCTCTGTACCCTTTGAGGACAGAGTCGAAACCGTTTTGAGCTACTTCGATTTACCTCCTCTCCAAATACCCTCTTTCATTACTCTCTATTTTGAGGATCCTGATCATCAGGGTCACCAGGTTGGACCTGATGCTTCTGAGATCACTGATGCTGTTGCCAGAATCGACGCCTTGATAGGGAGGCTCATCCAGGGCTTGGAACACAGAGGCGTTTTCGAGGATGTTCATGTTATTTTGGTCGGTGACCATGGCATGGTAGGTACATGCGATACAAAGCTTATCTCTTTGGTTGATTTGGCACCTTGGGTCCAGATTCCTCGAGATTGGATCCAGTATTACACCCCATTGCTGGCTATTCGCCCTCCTCCTTCCGTTGACCCAGCGTATGTTGTTGCTAAGATGAACGAAGGGTTGAGCTCTGGGAAGGTCGAGAATGGGGGGAGGTTGAAGGTTTACCTGAAGGAGGATTTGCCTGAGAGGCTTCATTATTCGGACAGCGATCGGGTTACGCCCATTGTTGGTTTGGCTGATGAGGGTTTCAAGGTTCAGCTGAATCGAACCGGTAAGAAGGAATGCGGCGGTGCTCATGGTTACGACAATGCGTTTTTCTCCATGAGGACTATTTTTATTGGACATGGTCCTAGGTTTCCCAGAGGAAGGAAGATACCCTCCTTTGAGAATGTTCAGATTTATAATCTGGTTACTTCCATACTTGACATCAAGGGTGCACCTAATGATGGCTCTGCCACGTTTCCGGATTCTGTTCTTCTGCCTACTGCCTGACAACCTAAATTATGGTCACATAGGTACTTTTGGTGTTGGTTTCCAATCAGAATTGAAGTTTCACACTCACCTTTAATGCAAAATCATTATGCAGGTTGTTGAGAAGAAACTTAACTTTTGTATTGCAAAACAGTACTAAAAACACCTATGGAACATTGTACGAAATAAAACTGGGATTTTTAGTTACGCCTGTTTGTGGAAAGGAACAGCACGCAAATAACCTATATTACTATATTGTTAGGTTCCATGAATGGATTCACACGCAATATTTCCCTTTTGGATGATGACGATGAGTTCTATATTACTATTCCCTTTTGATGCCATTCTGTTTTTAGTAGTGATAAATCATGTGTTTCAACTTTTCAAATGGCTACTGATTGCTGTCTACTTGTCTCTCCCAAATGCCAACAGTGATTCCATTGTTAACTTTGGCATTTCACTGAATTGTTCCTCTTTCCATTTCAGTTTGGAAATGTCTTAGATGAAAGTATTTTTCATTAACTCACTGATATACTCTTCCCTTTTACTCTGTAGATGAATGCATATATTTCTGGCGTATCAGTTGTATACACAATTTATAACTAGAGGCTGTCTGCTTCAATGAATCAATAGAGCTACTTTTTCTATTTCACTCAATCCTACATGTGGGAAATATTATTGCTAGGTCATTGCTGCTAGATGAAGCTGCTGCTGGAAAGTAAAAACAATTAGGATAAACCCTTGTGATATCCTTGTTTTGGGAATATTATTCTTGCAGGAAAGTATACATTAGATTAATATTCATCCGTTTATCTGATGAAAACCTAAACCAAAAGCTTCCTCGAGTTAGTGTATGTTTGTTTTGTTTTCCATCCATTTTTCACATAACATACAACACATATTTATGCAGAATTTGTAGTTGACAGTAATTTGAACATCTGTTTAAAGAGTTTAATAGTTGAAAACAAACAATTTACAGTAGTTTTATTCTGTTTGCGTGATTTGTGAAGTAATTGTCTTAAAAATTGTTATTATTATATGTTATTGTTTATAACTGGATGGCCATGTAAGCGTATGATCTTTTTTTTTCCTCATCTTCTAATCATATTTAATAGATTAAAATCAATTTAATCAAAATGAAAAAACGAAAGTTGATCTCTCATTGCTTAGGAGAAAAATAAGAAAACAAGAATAGAACATATAAAAAAAAAGGTTGAGATTTGTTTTAATTGTTTATGATAAAATAGATTTTTTGTACTTCTTGGACCATAGAATAAAAGCTTAACTTGTAAAAACACTTTGCTTTTAAGGAAGAATTCAACGTTCACAAACAAATTTTGCATAAATATTTTTTTCTCTTTTAAATTGTGCTTAGATAATTTTTTTTTATGTAACCTTTTTTAAATTTAATCCAAGCAAGAAGTTAAGAATTCACAAAGGTACCTTTTGCAAAATATTTTCAAGAATCATTTTCATTTTTTTCTAATTTTTTAAGAATAACAAAATATATTCTCATAATCAACTATTGAGCCTTCAGCCAAAAAATGTTGAATAATAACAAAATGTAATATTTTTAACACAACCAATAAAACATTATTGTTACTGTTATATGATTCTTCAAATAATTATTATAAAATTCACACTCATGTTTTCATAATATTATAGTTTGAATTTGCCACTCATGATCACACTTCTCTCGTGACAAAAAAGAGTCCAATAAGGAGTTTCTAAGATTATATGAAAGCAAATAATATAGTGTTCAATATTTATTTGAGAAAATAAAAGGAAATTTATTGGAATAAATAAAAAATAAGAAATAAGAAATGATGAATGGGTAGGGCAGCCGAAAAGAAAAAAATGCAAAAAGAGAAAGAGTGAGACCATTGATTTTTCTCTTGTTCTATCGCATCATATCATCACCATCCTCATGCGATGTTGTAGCGCTCTTCACTCTCAGAGCGCGTAAATGGCACATCTTCACCTTCTCCGATTGCAATTCCGATTATCCTCTTCCTCTTCCTCTCTCTTCACCGCCCCAAATTCCGCCTCTGCCAGCACCCTCTTCTCTCCTCTCGCCTATTCTTCTCCTGCACCACCGCCTCCTCCCACTCTTGCTTTCGCGCCCAGAAAGCACCTTCTCTCTTTCAAGGTCACTTTTTTAACCCTTCCCTTATTCTCTTAATTCTCAATTAGGAACCACTCATTAACTAACTTTATTGCATCTCTTCTTCTTAGCGTTCTCCAATTACGCTCCCATTTTCATTCGCCTTTGGAGCATGGCAAGCCCTGTACTTTACTGTTGTTATTATCATTATTCTTTTGTAGTCAACCCTCTATTTAGTCCCTAGCAAGAGGGTATTGCTTAAAGATTGAAAATTGCCACACAAGTATCCCAATTGCATGTGTTTCATCAATCAAATTACTCATACCTCATGGACTGATTCACCCATCAAATGCATGTTTCAAAACACGTACGCGGTAATTTTCACCTTTCCAGGATTAATATAACCACTAACGTGTCTTTGAAAGGGTAATTTCGTTGTTTGCTCTATTAATTTTGGTCACAGGTTGCTGATGTACGGCAGAACGGTTTAGCTCTCACGCGTATCTGCATGCTACTGTAATAAACTACTATTGACATTTTAGAACATGCTAAAATAAATTACTTTAATAACCTTTTTTTGTTACCATTTGAGGAGTAGAATTCAAGTTTGCCCAGGACTGTTTGCCATTTTAGACTGCTCTGTCTCTCTCAATGTGATGATGCTATTAGTTTGTGTTTGGTCCATCCATTCTATGCAGATGTTGTCACTAACTAGACCGTCTTTGACAGCTTATGAGCTTTAGAATGTTTAATTACTGATGTGAATCAATGCTAGGATATTTTTTCCCTTGGTATTTATTGGTAGAGTTTCCATTGGAATAAGTTAATTATTTTGAAATCAGTGCAGAAGGAAGCCTGACCTCTAGTAAACTGATGACTATACTTTGCTTTTACTCTGTCTCGATTGTTAGTCATTTTTATGGATTACTGAAGTGTAATGTGTTTTTCTCAGCCTTTTGTTTGATTTTACTCACTTCACTTCAGGTATGTGCAACTGTTGCTGAAACTGGTCAGCCAAAATGGTGGGAAAAGAATGCACCAAATATGGTTGATATTCACTCCACGCAAGAATTTCTGAGTGCTTTGAGTCAAGCTGGAGATAGACTTGTTATTGTTGAATTTTATGGAACTTGGTGTGCTTCTTGCCGAGCATTATTCCCTAAGGTCCTCTTGCTTCTTGACTTCACCCTTTCATTCTTAGACTTTTCAGAGGATTTTTTATTTCCTGCAAAAGCATATGCTCTCAACTGTACTTTGTTGATAACATGTTCAAAATTAAACAAGATGTAAAATTATAAGTGATCTAATGTGCATGGTCATCCAAATACTATATTGAGTATGGGCTGGCATCTTAATTGGTGTATAGTGATATTGGTCTGAATTGTTATGAGTGTACTGATATGGATGCTTGGCGTTCCTGTCTATGCCATGCAGTCCCCGGTATACTAACATAAATTAGAATAGGATCTGAACGTGATGATTTGAAAGAGGCTATGTTTGAGATACTGTCTGCAGTCTGCACCCACACTTTCAAAACATATTTCTTAATTTGAATCAGATTTGATAGTGGCCACATATTAAATTCATTTTTTAGAAAGAAAACTCATTTTAGATGAGGATCAATAACAGTTATGTAAATGGCTGATTACATGTCAAATGTGGATAACTTGGGTAACATGTTATACTTGGTTTGACGAGTGGTACTGATCTGCAAGCAACATTTTGTTCTTTTTCTGTCCCTGTAAAAATGAAAACTTTGAATTGCACAGGAGAATGACTGGATATATGTTTTCATTACCCTTGATAGACTTGCTTTAGAAGTCTTTTGTCTGTCTTGTTTTCATTTCCAGTTCTTATTCTTGATTGAAGACTACTATATCAGCATCTTGGTTTTCTGATTCATGTTGAAGGTTTCGTGATCTGTTTTAGTGTTACTGTGCACAACAATGAAGGGGAGAGGAAAAATTTAATCAAGTAAAATTCTCTTCTAGTAGAGACCAAAGTGAGGAAATGGGACCTTTTTTAGATAAATTGAGTCATTATCCTCCTTTTTGTAGAGAGTATATTTGCAGGCAATTTGGTTACAACAGAGGTAAGAAAGGAAGAAATTGAGACAGCTGGAAAGGGGCATGTGGGCTGGTAATCCTTTGCATCGGGAGAGGAGAAAAGGATCGAGTCCCAAAATAACCAACAGTAGGATGAGAGGTTATGATTGGTCTAGCTAGTAATATTGAAATTTGGTCAGGGGAGAGAGAAAGTATGGAAAAAAATGATTCTGGTCCGCTCCCTCTCTGCTGTGGGTATTCTGTGCTTTCTGAAAACCTAGTCTCTGCATTCTGTTTTCAATTTCATGGTATTTTCTCCTCTGTAATTCTTCCATATGTCAGCAGCCCTCCCTTGTGAGAAAAGTCCATCAGCTATTATACAAGTACAGAGTTGAGCTTTTTTTTTGTTCTATGACATTCCTATGTAATTACATTGGTGCTTTCATTGATTTATGGCAGAAAAAACTTGTGTATAAGGAACTCTAGAACGATATCAAGCGGTTATTGGACACTATGGAAACATGAGATTAGGAGTATGCTAGGTGGGTTGAAATGTTGGAGTCAGCCATAGATTGGTACTCAAGCAAAATACCGTTCCAGAGTTGTTACCCTCATTTATCAACCATTTCAGGTGAATAGTTTCAAGCTTGATTTCCCTCAGTTTGATGGATCGGATGTCCTTTTGATGGATCTCTAAAGCTGAACAATTGTTTAGTTATTACAATACACCAGATGGACATCATTTAACTATTATTGCAATTCATCTAGACTAGGAGGTCGTGCCTTAGTATCACATGATGACCGGCATCAATCCCTTTCATTCATGGTTTACCTTTACACAAGCCCTTGAGCTTGATTTTAGACCTTCCCCTTATGAATATCCCCGAGCTCAACTCTTTAAAATTGATGCCAGCCACTATTGTACAGGAGTGTTATGTGCAATTTACAGCTCTTGGAAAAAGGGACAAGAACTTAACCCACAAGCAACATTGGACTGTTTTATCGGTGTTGTTAAGCTACCTTGAAGGGAAGAATTGGTTCTGGGAGTTGCGTGGTTGGCTACCTTGGCCCTCAACATTTCTGATTACAACAAGTTAACCCTGAAGTTGTGTTTGAACAACCAGTTTATAACCTTACTTGGTCAGCAATCCAAACTGCCAAGTCCCACACAATTCACCCATTTGAGAAGGATGTACAGTACTCATGTTATAACTGAGGTATTTACTCCACAAGTCTTGCAACCATATTCACTTAAGGACCATTAATTAGATCTTCCCACTAACATGGAACCAGAATTGGCCATGTTGCTAGACATATACAAAGAGGTTTTCTCTATACCTTCTGGATTAACTCCTCAAAGAGCTGAAAATCATTCAATTCCATTGATCCAAGGTTCTGGTCCTGTTAAGGTCAGACCACACGGGCATTCTCATAGCAGAAACTATTAAATTTAAGCGATGATACAAGACATGTTGTAGGAAGGGATTACAATGCCTAGCACTAGTCCTTTTTCTTCTCGCATAGTCTTGGTGAAGAAGAAGGATAATACATGGAGATTTTGTATTGACTATAGGGCTTTGAATGTCATAACAGTGAAGGATAGTTTCCCCTTCCCTACTATTGATGAGCTCACTGAAGAGTTGAATGGAGCTCAGTAATTTTCTCAACAGCAGCTAAGATTTGGGTACCATCAGATATTGGTAAAGAAAGACAATAGGCATAAAATAGTCTTGAGAACCCATCAAGGCCTTGATGAATGGCTAACATGACATTTGAACTCTATAATGCTCCTACTACATTTCAGAGTCTCATGACTGAGGTATTCCAAGGTCTTTTAATATGTCGTGGTTTTCTTTGATGACATCTTGGTATCTGGTTCTTCCTGACCCTTACATTTGCATCAATTGGAGGTGGTATCCAAAATTCTGCTTAAAAGGTTGTCAAAATATTACTTTACTTTGCAACAGATAGATCATTTAGGTGCTATTTCTGGTCAAGGTGTGGCTATAGATGAAGAAAAATTGAAGCCAGTGTTGGATTGACCTTTTCTTGCTAATTTGAAAAAACTGAGAGGTTTCCTTGGCCTCACTGGGTATGTAAACGATTCATTATGGGCTAAGCAGCTATTGCGGTTCCTTTAACCAATTTGTTGAATAATGAAAATTTTTCTTGGAATGGTCCAACTGCCATTGAGAGACACATTTCTCCTTTTTTATTCAATTTTGATGGTCTTCTTTTTCCTATAAAACAAATAAATTCACTGTCAGTAGGGAGTCTGCCTCTAGATCCAAAGAATAAAGTATTCATGTAGTGTCTGTTCTGTTTATCATCTTCACAGCTAGAACGAATTTAAGTTAGGAAGACATTTGTGAATTAATTTATAATTCTCTTTGCATGCTGCTGAAAGTATATCACACATATCCTGAATCTTGATGTGGACTTGGCAGTTATGCAGAACAGCTGAAGAAAACCCCGAAATTCTTTTTCTCAAAGTAAATTTTGATGAGAATAAGCCAATGTGCAAAAGGCTGAATGTTAAAGTACTTCCTTACTTCCACTTTTATCGTGGAGCTGAGGGGCAGCTTGAATCGTTTTCATGTTCACTTGCCAAGGTAATTCTAACAATTTATTTGGTAATGCTTAGCATTTCTGGCTTCAATTAAAGTAGATGAGCAACAACAGTTGATGATTGGTGCCTATGATTTTCCCAATAATGTTTATACTGAAACTTAAGGGCATATTCTGTTTGACAATTTTCTTCTCATCTGATGTGTTGGTAAATAATTAGAAAGATGTTTTTTTATTTTTTACCTTTTTCCGATTTTCAAGGATTTATATAAGAAACCATGAAAATAGAATCCTTATTTGGAAGCAAGAAACGAGGTAAAAACTGATTATCTATCTGTAATTTATTATTAAAATAGAAAATATTTTCACAAACTGAACAGCATGATGATGGATGGTTTAAAAAGCTTAGAATAGTGGATAGAACCTAATTGTACAGAATGCTGCGAGCCAAGTCTTTTAATTCATTAATCAGCTAATGGTTCGTTTGTAAATTACAGTTTCAAAAAATAAAGGATGCCATCCAGATGCATAACACGGCACGATGCAGCATTGGTCCACCTGTGGGCATTGGCGATCTGCTTGCTGAACCTTCCTCTGCTGCCAAGGATAGACCTGTGGAATCCGTTTAAGCATAGTACTTGTATCTTCTATTCATGCATTTGTATTATAAGCTATCTCACAGAGGGAAACCCCAAAGAAACTTATAATATATGTACTCTGTATATTTACTACTGTATTTTTATTTTAGTTTTTGGTTTTAGAAGGATACCTAGCAGAATTGTTTGTTCTGTCTCATTCTTGACCATTCATTACCTGATTGTAATCGTCTACTTTAAAACTTCTGTTAAATGAAATGTTATGATTTAATTCTTTTGCTAAATCTGGCTTGACCAGGGTAAGTTTTGTCTAACTTATTATACTCAGTATTTTTTTTTAATTTTGAATTTCATTAATAAAACTCTTGGACTGAGTGTTCTCAATAATTTGATCAGGTTTACGAATTTATATATAACTTATAAATTATTTGATGATTCAGCATTGATTGAGAGATGGTTTAGTAGTAAACTAAACTTTGGTTTATGGTGATTTTAAATCATGGCAGTTCCATTCTGCACTTTTAAACATTTCTTTTTTGCAATTGAATTTTTCAATCCAAAAATCATCAATTCCAGAATATGATTTTACATTTTGGATTGGCTAATTCAAAAAATGAAAAGAAAATGCAAGAAGCGATTTCTTGAATGTAGAAAATAACTCTCCTAATGCACTCAAATTCATGCTACCAAACTACATGCTTGGCCTAACATAACTAATAATTAACATTAACATTATAATAAATAATTAATGCACAAAAGTATATAATAAAGAAAAACTATTGCAAAAACTCGATGTATCTTGCCCAAAAAATATAAAATACGGAGAGGTGAGCACACGTGGAAGTTCTAGAATTTTTGCAATATGCACATTTGTAACTTTAAATATATCAACACTACTGTATATACATACGTATACTTACCGAACTTTCAACTTTGATTGGAACAGCTTCTTGTTGGTCGAATATATGAATTATTCTCTCCCTAGCTCTGCTCATAACTACTCAAAATATATATCTTTCAACCCTCTCAACTACCTCCATTCATTTTGATATGTACATCTGACATTTTTTTTATCATTTATTCCTGTTAATTTGCTCCTACATAGAATTTTCTTTTTTAAATTATAAGATAAAAATATTTATTAATCATGAATTATGAATTTCGATTTAGAAAAAGAAAATTAGTGTTTTGATCTGAGTGTATCATGTGCCGTGAGAGCTTGTCCTAGAAAAGCGAAGAGATCCTCAACATGTGGGTTTGTTATGTTGCTGTCTGATTCCTTGGTTGAAGCAACAACGGTTGTTTCCTAAGATCCGCCAAATTGCCTTCCCTCTCCTACCATCTCAGTAAACACACACAAAATGAACACATATGGAACAATCTCACAAGAGGCAGAGGCTTCATCGAATCCAGACTCAGTTTTCGTTTCACAGGCGAAAGAGCGCATTCAAACGGGTCTTGGCACAATAAGACCATGGAAAGAAATGCTCCAACCTTCTCATCTCAAACTTCCATCTTCCTTCTACGGTTCAATCCAAAGAATCAACACAAATGCCAGACATTTTCGTGCCAACTACGTCATCATCATATTGCTTGTGCTTTTCCTTAGCTTACTAGGACACCCCGTTTCTTTGATCATACTCATTGTTATGATGATTGCATGGCTGTACTTATATTTCCTACGAGATACCCCTTTGGTGATTTTGAGGTTCGAGATCGATGAGCGATTGGTGGTCATCTTTCTCCTGTTGATCACCATTGGTTTGCTTGTGATCACCAGTGTAACCAACAATGTGGTAGTGGGTATGAGTGTTGCCTTAGTGCTTGACTTGCTCCATGCTGTGATGAGGGAAACGGAGGATCTGTTTACCATGGATGAAGAGGTAGGGATTGTAAAGGGTCTTCGAGATGTTGTCAAAGTCCCTCTCAGACAACCTGTTTCCTCTTCTTTTACTTCGTCTTAGAATCAAATTCAGATGCATGCTATTGCCAGAATTCAATTAGAATCAGGAGGTTGTAAAGGGTCTTTTATATTTCTTGTCACTTCCCTTCTTGATTCTTGATTCAAAATTATCCAATGCATTTTTCATCCAAAGTTGCATTATCTTTTTTGTCATTTCTCTATATCTGAAGCTATCATAATCCAATGGAATGTAGTTTTATTGTGCATGTGTTGAGTTGAGAATATTATTCGCCTTTATTGCGGGTAAAACAAGAGTTCATTTAATTGCCTTGGCGATGAACCAAGTCAATTTTTGTATTTTTCTGAAGTCAGTAATTGGCCGCATATATAGTTCAAAAGTAACAGTTGCGTCCAAATTGAAACACTTGCTTGCCAATTTCCGCTGCAGTTTGTACACATTGACTCGTGGAAAGGTATCAGATTGGCAGTTTAAAGGGTTAGGAAACGCACGATAGTCAAGACTCCACCAACTTGGCATCATACCCTGCTGATAGCAACTGCCACAAATGCTTCAAATTACAATTCAGTCAGTTCCAACTACCCCACCATTCAATTTAATACATAGAACATAGTCTAGTAGTTCAATAAGCCACGATTGACACAAACTCTTATCTTGATCAAAATTTTACTTTATTTATATTCTGTCATTTTCTACTCAATCTACTTCACAGATAGGGGAAAAGCTTTTGCACTCACTAAATTCTTTTTGACACAAAGAAAGATAAAAAATGCTTATGAATGATAAATGATATGATGTTATAAGAAGACAAATAATAATAATGATTACCAAGTGTTTGATACAAAGGGAGGTTTATGTATTATAACTATATTTTGTTTTTAACCATAACGTCTCTCACAACATTAATAATTTCGATAAAACTGAGTAGATAAACTCAACATGTCTACTCTGCTTTCCTCTTGATTTCTTATATCGAAATAACATCAACCATAGCCTCTGGGACACTGACACCTTGAATGGATAAAAGAAAAAAAAGACAGGATTGATGGAAATGTTGTAGAAAATTATTCACGTTGTTGGTTCTGAACCTGAGATAATGGTTGGTTGGAATGAACCTGAGGAAGGAATGATTCCCACAGAGAGAAATACACAGAGAGACACTTGACATTTGATGAAGTGGCAAAACATATCTGAACATAAGGTGGCTTGGAAAAGCTAGAATATGGAAGCTCCACCTCTTCGACTCCACCACGTCACACCCCACGAGCCACCAACCGGAGCAATGGAAAAGAGTGGTCCAAAAGAAAAGCACTGGTGCATTCAGAGGATGAAAACAACTTCTTTTGATAGGATGACACTGATATCAACTATTTCCCTAAAGTTGCATTAAAAATGCTTCCTTTATAGATATGCTGAGAGACATGACCATAAGGGTTCTTCTTGGTATTTTTTAATGATTAACATAAATAAATAAGGTCAAGAGACATGAGTTAAATATATATATATATATATATATATATATATATATATATATATATATATATGTATNAGAGAGCTTGTTTGGTATATCCAAGTCTCATACACTTAGGAGTTGAGACCTAGGACAATTTAAATACATATACCTTCTTAATTTTTCTGACACCTTTTAAAAACAACGTCAAACTACAAAACAAACAATACCTCAAATATTTAACAATATTTTCTCAACAAACTTAAAGTTAAATATATATATATATATATATATATATATATATATATATGTATATATATATATATATGTATATATATATATATATATGTATGTATGAATGTATATATAAATATATGTATATATAAATATTGTATAGAGATAACAACAGTGACAGAAAAAGGTGTAAAAAATATTAAAAGCAGAGAGGCACAATAATAGCATGGGAATTATTTTACACTATATCCATACGTGACGATAAGACAGCAATATTTTAATGGTTTTTATTGCAGATGAAAAAACAATCCTTTTGATGGTGTTGCTGTGGTTCAAGATGAGATAGGTGAATGAGAAGAGGCGGTGGCGAGAAACGTCCTGAAGTGGCAGTGAGGGGAAATGGAATGGAGCACCAACCTCACCGTGGGCTCCTGTTTGATGATCGCCCCCTCCTTCTCGACCAACACCGCCGCCACAATCTCATCATAGGCGCCGCCGCCGGCAACAATGAAGGCGACCAGGGCGGCCTGGAGCGGTCCCAGGCTGGGGTTATAAGCAGCGGACTCAATGTAAGAGCCTTTATGGACAGTCCCCTTGGAATCGAGAAGGGCGACGCCGGAGGGGGAGGCGCTGTAGGGCGCGTGGGAGTTATTGGCGGCTTCCAACGCGGGAAGCGTTAGATTAGGGTTGCTGTTTTGGGGAATGGGAGTGGGAAGAGAGAGGGCGTTGTGGCGAGGCTCCAAGAGGAGAGGGGCGGTTTTGGGGAGAAGATCGTGGGGGCCGAACCGGTGGGAGAGGAAGTGGGAGAGAGGGGTGAAGTGAGGGTTGGCGTGGGAGGTGATCAGGATTTGGATGTCGGGGGCGTCGCGGAGTTCCTGGAGGAACTGCCGGCAGTGGCCGCAAGGAGCGGCGGAGACCGCGAAGGAGTCGAGGCGGGTCTCGCCGTGGAGGGCCAGGTTGGTGAGGAGAAACTGCTCGGCGTGGATGGTGTGGTGGAAGGGTAGACCCGGGAACTCCACGTTGACGCCGACGAAGATACGGCCGGAGGCGCCGAGACCTACGGCGGCGACGGGGAAGTTGGAGATGGGTGGACGGGCGAGGGACTGGGCGGGGGAGACGAGGGAGGGGAGGAGTTTGGCGATGGGAGAAGAATGGGCTTGGGCCTCAGATGCCGATATTACGAATCTGGGCTTGGGCTGCTCCATGGGTTTTTTGGAGTGTTAATGAATGCTTTTTGTTCCCACAAACAAGGAAAAGAGAGAAAGAGAAAGAGAGAGGGGAGAGCCTTTGGAAGCCCGCAGCTGTATTTATAGAGAGACTTAGAGCATTTATTCTTCGAATTCCAAATTCCGAAGGATTTTTTTAAATTTTGGGAATAATAAAATGCGATTAAGATAAACATTTTGTTAATATATTTTATACAATTTGTTAATATTATATTTAATCAATTTTAAATGTGACGTAATAGTTTGTATTTTTCTCACTGGAGACAAAATAATATTTAACCTAAACTTGGCGACTTCAATAATTGAAATATTCCAAGATCTGTTTCCGAGTAGATACTTCTTACTGGATCTCAGTAATCGTTACTTAATGAGTTTGATTAACCTAACATAAGCTTAATTAATTAATTTGAACATTCCATTAACTGCATGGAGTGCAGCTGTAAGGCAAAAAGAAGAAGAATTAAATATCTTAACCTAATACATAGAATTAAATTTAGAAGTGAATAGCTTGCCGTCATCAACTTTGTTTATTACAGAAACTGCTTATAGTGTTCTTAGGTTGGTTCTAATTTTAAGTTGCGTGTTACATTGTAAAAAGGAAATGGAATTGAAGAAGGAAAACCTCTCATCAAAACCATATACATTACAATATGCTTAATTAATGGTAACATTTGCATTTTTTTCCCCATCTCAAATCATTGTTTAATTTTCTTCATTTGTCGTTTTATTGTTTGAGTTGCTTGTACTTCTTGTCTATCAAACATATATTAATATATTACAGAATTGTATCCCATTAAAAATACAACACTATTCACCGAAAACAAAGGACAAAATAATACAACCAAACCAAGAATTATTGACGGTCTCAAATTTTTTGTTTCAATAATTAAATATAAATAAGTAAAAGTTGTGTTTGATCTCTACATTTGTTTTGGTCAAGAGGTAGTGATATGTGGATATAAATGTCAATTTTCTTGTATTGAATATTGGCGAGTTGTTTCTCAGTAATTGTACAAAAATGAAAGTGTGTGGTTTGCATACTAAATTGCTCTCAAGTTTTTCAAGCAATAATGTAACGTTTTTTATTTATTTTATTTGTCTGTAATTTCTAGAAGGTGTTGACAACATTGTGTGAACTGTTTTTTTTTTAATGATTTTGTACGATAAATTAATTTTCTGTTTATGAAGTGGCCCACTTAGTTCAAGTCAAATATGCAGTAATTTCTGAAAGATTCTCAAAATGGTCTACAAGTCATGAGTTACTTTATTTTTTTATTTTTTTATTGTTGATAAGGCTTAGGAAATTTAAAATTTTGATGGAAAATTTACAGGGATGGTAGTGGGGTTGCAGGCAGCCACGTGTTGAATTATGTAAGAGGTTTTGTGTGTGGTGGTGAGATGAAGGATGTCTGAGGATAATCGAGCGGTGACAGTGGAGAATTTGGTTCCAAGATGGCAAATGTTGTTGGACTAAGGTTGTCATTGCCATTGCCATTGCCGGTGTTGGGTTCTGTCTGTGTTTGTTACTCTTCAACCTTTGCCACTACTCTTTCAAGACCACCTACAAAGAAGCTGAATTGGAAAGTTAAGGGTCCTCGTCGCATGGTTTTGGGCCTTGGAGTTTCCTTCTTCTCTCACTTTATGACCATGGCTGGTGCCATGGGAAGCAAGTCCTTCATGGCCTCCGCCAAGATAACCGGTGGTTCCTCTGTGGATGAGGTCATCATCTCATAAATCTTGCCCCTAATTGCATGTTTGATCATCTGTGCATGCTCATAGCCGAATAATGAAGCTGTACTGTTTGAGCAAATTACTCAAGCAATTTAGTCAACGTTGCTCAGTTTTTTATCTGTTGATTCATTGCATGTGATTTCGATATGTTTTCCACTGCTCAACTATTGTGTACCACTTGTTGTTTGAAATTGGTTGCAGATTAGGTTGTGTTTGTTTCTCTCATTCATTGTGCTATCTTTCCATTTTACAGTTACTGAAGAACTACGAATGGCCCGAGCAGTTTCCCTTTAAGGATGAGGATTTCCAGCGCTTTGATGAGTAAATTTCTCCACTAGTTGCTTCAAGAACCATTATTACATGCTTTCTACTTAAAGTAATCATTTTTCTTTCTGCATTGTGTTCCATATTTGTTTGTGTAAAGTATAAGGATTTTCGGCCAGTTTTACAACTATAGAATTTCTTGTGCCTTATGGATTATATAACCGTAGCAATACTGGATCATGCCATATGTTGGTATGTGGGTCATCTTTAAAGCTTCTTTCCTCAAAAAAATTTATTGAGTTATATTATATACACCCCATTTTAAGGTGGAAGGAAGGGTGTGATCATATGAAAGGAAAGAGAGAGAAAGAGACAAATTTGATAACTGATATGTTATATGATGGAAAACTAAGAGACAAACGGCAAGAAATGACCCGGAATAGAAAGTGATTGTATGATGGATGTTATTGTGTTGAAATTTCTGTTTTGCGTCTTTTGACTTGCACCTTTTGTTTCTAATGTCATTATTATCTGCTATCTTGAATTGCTGATTCTTTGCTGTTTGTAAGCCACCAGTGGCCTCAAATATTTCTTAATCCTTCTTTTCTTTTTGTTAATCTTTTGTGTATATCATGAAAATTTCCTCTCAGGACTCCAGATTCCTTATTCTATGAAGCACCTCGATTTGTGACACACATTGATGACCCTGCAATTGCTGCTTTGACTAAATATTACTCCAAAGTTTTCCCACCTAGCAACACTCCTGGAGTAAGCATCTTGGATATGTGTAGCAGTTGGGTAAGAGTTTTAGTACTATAACTCTGGTCTCTCTGATGTTGCGTTGCATATACATATTGTCATAAATCTCCACTTTGCATTAGGTCAGCCATTTTCCACCAGGATACAAGCAAGAACGAGTGGTGGGATTAGGCATGAATGAAGAAGAGCTAAATAGGAACCCGGTAAGATAATACTGTGTTATGTGTTGATCATTGATTTTTAATTTTGGAACTGAAACTCAATTTGGCATTCTTAAGGTGACTCTTGGGTTATTTTTCCATATACTCGTGCAGTCCAATTGCGTGAATTCAAATAAAAAATAGTGACATAGCTATACCTCAAGATTCTCAACATTTTAATTTTGACAGAGAAACCGGGACATATTAATTGAAGTTGTTGATGTTGTAGGTTCTCACAGAGTATGCCGTGCAAGACTTAAATGTGAACCCCAAACTTCCATTTGAGGATAACTCTTTCGACATCATCACTAATGTGGTAAAGATATATTTCCATATAACTTAACTTTGATGTTTGAAATTATTTCAAGCGGAGCATGTTATTTGCTCATATCACACATTTGTGTTGCCCATTTGTCAGCAATTTTGTTTAAATTTTGTTTTTCTTTCAATATTTTGTAATAAGCTTTCTATTCTTGTTGATTAAAGCTTAGGAATCATTTATTACACTCTTAAGTTTTTTAGCATTTGGTTGAAAGAAACCTTAAGAATTGAATATGCTCTTCAGGTCAGTGTTGATTACCTTACAAAGCCACTTGATGTTTTCAAGGAGATGTCCAGGGTTCTCAAGCCAGGTGGACTAGCCATAATGAGGTGATAATCTTTTCAATCATTTTGGAATTACCCACCAGTTTTATAAAATCTGATAATCTTTTCAACCAGTGGAGGAATTACCTACCACAAAGCACTTTCGTATAAAATCAGAGTCAGGGATATTTAATCATCTGAACTAAACTATATAATCTGTACTCTGAAATTTTTTGGACCCTTCTTATAGATGACGTTTCATCTGTTATTGATCTTGTACTGGCATGTCCTATTCAACTCATGATAACTTCATTGATGATTTTAGCTTTTCAAACCGATGCTTCTGGACAAAGGCCATTTCTATATGGACATCAACTGGGGATGCTGATCATGTTATGATTGTTGGATCATATTTCCATTATGCTGGAGGATTTGAACCTCCTCAGGTGGTAATTCCATAATTGATATTTTCTTTCCATACTCAAGTGAAAGACACTCAGCTATCTACACTCTCACAATTATTTTTCCCATTTAGTTCTAGGAGGGCACATTTTATGGGGCAAGTTTGTAGTAGCACTAATCTTTAAATTCCTTTCTAATATATCTAACTTCTTCCTCCTTTTGTTGCATATTTCGCTCTTTATCTTTCAGACTCGCAGCACTTCCTGTAATTTATCTGAATCATTACTCAGCCTGCAACAAAACTAGTTTTCTTGTGATTAATCTTGCAGAGTCCATCCGTGTTTGACATTTTTCTAAAGACATTTTTCTCTCTTTAACCAAACATCTCGCCAAATATCAGTTTATTAACATACTATAGTCTGTTTCATTTAATGCCGAAGGGCACTTTCTTTCACTATTGCTCATCTGCATCTATAAATGAGAAGTTATAAATTCTACCAGGGTCATAAAATAATTATGGTTAGTGTCTGTAATGTTTCATATAATATGGCAGTGTTACTGCTGAGGTCAATACTCCAAGGTTTAATGCCGTTTGCTTTTTTGTGTAGGCTGTGGATATATCTCCTAATCCTGGACGCTCAGATCCTATGTACATTGTGTACTCCAGGAAGCTCTCTACGGCTTGAGAGAAATACGAAATGAGAGTTCGTAGCAATATATTTACTATTTTACTTATTATCACTTATCAAGCAGTGAATGTAGTGGGAGAAATTCATTCTTATCATCATATTGCATGCAATTTTTGTTATAGCATTGCCCTCATAGAAATGCATACAAAACTCCAGTTAATATATTGGTGTTGGTGAGTGTTGCCACCAGCATTGGACACAAACTGAATTCCTAGCTCTGTTTCTTTTACTCTACAATCATTCATAAAATATTGTTACTTTGGGAAGATTACCTTTCGGTTCATGGGAGATCTGCAAAACATTAAAATTCAAAAGCACTTTTCTTTATGGCGAGTGGTGTCGGTTGCCTTTTCCTTTTTGCTTGATCAACATTTAAATTTTTGCTTTGGTAGAGATCACAAATACGTTTCACCGGAGGAGTCAAATAGGATCATTATGACTGATAAAATTCTCTT